TGAAACAGAGGGAACATAAATATTATAATAGGGACAGTGAGAATAGCTCTGAGTATTTAAACTTGCCAAATTATGTACTATATCACAAATAAAACCCAATGCATTAATTGTAACAACATACATAGGTTCAATGTATACACAACATAGCATATGTATTTATAATATATGTACAGACATGGCTCAATAAATGGTATAAACAAAGATCAATGTACAAAGGCTAATTGAAAAATTAACTGACATCAGTAATAACACTTTAAATTGCATCATGTTGGTCACAACTTTTATAATGTTTTGACCTTGTCTGCAAATAAAATTTATCATTAAGTCAAATACTGACTTTGCAGTCGTGACCAGTCGTCAGGGGATGTGCACTCCTCCATTGCATCTGAGCTACTTATAATGTTTTGGAATTCCATGTTTATTCCGCTCCTATTTTGTGATGTTAAATGGACTTTTCTCCACATATTTCATTAATGAGTATGTCAGAATTAAGTACTTAACAAATATTGCACTTGATAATTTTTAAGGGTATATATTTATAAAATGGAATTAAACAAAATTAAAAATCTACAAACAAGCTATTCAAATCAGGAATTGTTACATTTCATATGCCCAAATCTGACTGTATTTCAAATGGATGATCAACTTCAGGAGACTGATACTCTTTGTTTTTAAAAAAGGGAAAATAAAATAGCATTAAAGCATATTAGGGAGCAGCTATTAACAATGAAATATGAAAAAAGGTGCAATCTCCAAGCTGAAAAGTCAGTTGAAACAATAATTATACATTTGAAGCAGAGCAGCTACAAACTGCTAAAAACTTCAGGTGGGATCAGGAGCGATGGAGAACCATCCCATGTCAGTTTTGAGTTGCACTTTCAATTAAATATTATGAGAAGTGCTAAATAAATACTTTAGTGTGAGCTGTTCGTTTGTCGAAATGGCACAAGGTGTGTAATAAATTGGTGCTTTACCATGTGGGAAAAACTCTGCATATCAACAAAAAAGATTTATAATATATTTATCCTGAATAGTTTCATTATGAAAAAAAATTGTCGAACAGCCTTTGTATAGGATAAAAATAGCTCAATTTATGTCAAAAACACCCCAAAATATTTTTATTAATGAGTAATGTACTCGAATACTGTAATTAAACTGAAAAACATGTTATCATGATAGCTCATTATCTCAAAGGAAAAGATAATTTCATCCCATATGTACAGCAAATAAAACCATGAAAAAGGAAAACACAAACCCTTTAGAAAACTAGAGGTACTGTGAGCAATGAGCTTACTAAATAATACCCCCCCCCCCCCCCCCCCACCGCCTCCCATATGAATATAATGGCAGTATCCATGTTTTGCTCTGGAAAATTCAAAATATATGTCAGATCAAAAAGTAAAATAGGAGGTGCAAAATGGCAATATGTAATAAAAATTCTGTGAAAGTTTCATCAAATTTCCTCTATTGGTATGAGAGGAGTTGCACTTAAGAGAAGGGTACCCCAAAGCGTAACAGACGGACGGACAGACGGACGGACGTACAGACGGATGGAATTAACGATTATTATATACCCTCCCGCTTTTCAAGCGGGGGGTATAACAAGATGTGGCATTATGTTTCTGGGGACCAGTAATAGCTTCATTGAACTCTATGTATTTATAATTTAGACATACAGGGTACTGCAAGGAAAAATGACCTGACAAATAGTATAAAAAGGACCCAATGGGAGGCTTATTTTATTTCAAATAAGCCCATTTTAACGAACAGAAGTATTTGCAAAAAGTTGAGATCCCTGTAACATCACAAATAGAGATAATTATATTAAAATTGTGCAACATGGCATTAGGCCCCTTATATCATATGTTTTATTTAATTGTCTTCAATTGGACCATTTCACGTTCTCTACTCTGTATACACTGGGGGAGTATCCGAAATCGTGAATTCTGTTGTCGATACTGCAGGTACTGGTTCAAAATTTATCTGTGGTTGATCTAACAAATGGAAAATTAAATCAATCAATCCATCATCGAAACATGCAATTAATTTTGTAAAGTTCAAGAATATCATTGAATATTATCCCTGCTATTCCTAATATATGTTTAGCAAGAACGGAGGATCTCTATGTTATAGTAAGACGCTTTTATTCATGTATAATATATAAAGTGAATAATATGTTTCTTGTTAACCTTAAAGATAAACAATTATCATGGGGTATAAAATATTCTTTATATTAACCATAAAATAATAATGAAAATTTTATACCTGATTCTTCTGAATCAACCATTCTAGTATGAGGGATTTCAGACCTCCATAAAACTATGCTTCCTTTTCGAGCTCGGCGACACAGGCCAACACAAGCCAGGATTATCCCCACAGCGACGACTACGAGGGATATAAGACCGACATTAATCCACACATCTGCAAGGAAAAACAGACTTTCATTACCTCTTGGAAGTTCTGTGTCTCTCATAAAGCTACAAGCACACGACTCTTCTGCATTTGATATGACATTTAACAGGGCTGCAACAAAGCAACAAGTCATGTGAGCTCTTCGAATGGGATGTAAAAAATGGGTGGGCTTAAGATCCTAAATGTGTTTTGGATATTTTTGAGACTACTCTACCAAGCTGTAAATGCAGTGAATTCAAAATAATTTGGAAGGATACACAAAATTAGAACTATATTTGATTTAATTTATTGAATTCTGAAAGAGCCACCAAACACGCTCCAATATCATTAAACACTCGAGAAAGGTATCACGTGATGAATTGTAATAATCAATTGGTCAATCGAATTCGAATTGAAAAGTTTGTATCAAACATATTTTATGTTAACGAAACTAAAAGCACATGGCCTTAGAGGAGGCAGGGGGGGGGGGGGGGGGGGGAGTCAACAAATTTACCACAAATTAACCACAAGTTTTAATTTTCTTTTAGAAACGGTATTTAAAGCTGTCAGCTATCAATTGGTAAAGGAAAAATTGATACATTTTACTTTTAAGATTTGATGGGTTTTTTTGTTAATCTTTATATGGAGTTCTTCTTTTAAATGAGTTCAAAATAGTTTGAAAATGGCTGCCACCCCAGCCTCTTTAATGTGACATTTTTTTGTTTGATATACAAGCAGTCACTTTCTTGAAAAACAGCCAACAAACATGCACTGGATATCTCTTCAAGAAATCTTCAGGCCTCAATTAATTTCCGATAATAATTTAGTTTTCCTCAAAAAGAGCGTTTTGAATTCAAATCTCGACTATAAATTCATGGGTAAGAAATTTGATTTTCAGCATTCTTTTGAGCAGCTTAGTCCACCCAATCTTTAATCTACGTAGCGTAGTGGTAAAACTGTCTTCTTTAGAGTCGGAAGATAAGTTTATCCTAATGTAGTGGGTTCGAATCCCACTTTTGAATTTAGAGATCGGTCCTTCGGATATCGGGATATCGACGAGACCGTATAACTCGAATTAACATGTTGCAGTAGGTGCTGGCAAGAAAGAGATTCGTAACTGCCCAATGGTCCTCACTACAACTTAGGACAAATTTTGAAGTCTCCTCCGGCAAATGGTGGCGTCTCCATATGATAAAAATTCTAGAAAGGGACGTTAAACAACATACAATTAGTAAAAAAATATTTAAACTATCAGCCATAATTGTCAAACTCTGGCTTTGAGTGTTTCGATTTTAAGATCTGTTTGTTGCAGGTCATTAGAGAATAAAATAACAATAACAGCAAATACTTTATCTTTGTAATTTATAAAGACAGTAAAATATTTATTTCTGCCTTCATATACTACTTCATCAAAAGCGAATCTTTTTAAAACATGTTGCTCTTTATATTTGAAAATAATGACTACCGACCTTGTAACTGAAATTATTATTTCTCTTGTCATGCGATATTATAATTTTAAAAATTTGGAAAATTATAACAGTATCAAAGACTTGCAATTCATAAAAATATAAATATGAAGAAATGTAAATGACAACGGAGTTCATTTGCTGTACTTACAATCTGGAATAGAAACTGGTACTTCCTGTGCATGGATCTTAAACCGGAAAGAATTGGATCCAAAAAGAGGATTTGTGCTTCTACTGAGCAGCTCTATATTTATGTCCTCATTTTGAGATCCACAAAATCTCTCAGGCTTTCTACTGCATTTATACTTCTGGAAAGAAACGAGCACCCACGATGTTTTTTACACAATTAAGCAGTCTAGGAAAAAGGTTTTAAAAATCAACACAAAATTATTCACAAGAAATAATTATTTAATTTTTTTTTTCTGAACATAATTTAACAAAACTGTATCAAAATGTTTGTTGCCTTCTCTATCTTTCCATAAAAATTGACTTCAACGCTACAGTCATCCAGATGAAAAACTTCCACTTCGACACAAACGCTTACTGAATCCTTTGGATGAAAAGTTATCTTGCACCCTTTAGACAGAGGAAGTAATGTTCCGTTCCATGTAAGGTAAAATTCGTCATCCATATCAACGGAATGGTATGTGGTATATAAGGAAGCACAAAAGGAATCCGAAAAGAACACTGAAATAGTTTACAGTTTACAAATACAATAAACATTGCTAGAACGACAAAAAATATAACATACTTTACATGTATTAATCAGTCTCGGCTAAAGTCATCATTTCGTTTGTTCTAAGGTTCAAATTTACAAATAAAATTAGCTTAACAGCAAATACAATTAAGAAAAAGCGTTAAGTCGAAATCTGACTGACTTATTGCATACTGATATCGATTATTTAAACACTGACTTGTTCAAAGATTTTTTGCCATCATTTCCCGATTATGACAAGGAGAACATGGTAGATATGACCGGTCAGGGAACACGGGAATGGTCACTCCTCCATAGCAATTGAAACCACCTTTGATGCTTTTTTTAGTTCCGCGTTTGCTCCGGTCCTCTTTTGTAATGTTAAATGCACTTTTGAGCTCAAATACTGTTCGCCATCTTCACATAGAACCGCGGACGTTAACTGAAAACAATGCTAAAACTTACGTGTTTTATCTGTTTCACTATTTACAGTTTCAGACAACATTGAAAGAAGACTCAAAATTTTAAACTGTAAAACATTGGATCCATGAAGAGGATTCGTGCTTCTGCTAAACAGTTCTACACCTATGTCTTGATACTGAGACCCACATAAATATACGGACTGGCTATTGCATTTTAAATTTTAAAAAGAAACGAGTTTCCTTGACTCAAAAGTGAAACAGGAGGCCCATTGGCCATATCACTCATTTAAACAGGTTTGTTAAATAAAAGACGCCCGTGGGCCACATCGTTCACCTGTGTACCGTGGCTAGGAAAAAAGCAAAATTCAATTCAGTTTTCAAAATCTTAAGTGGGCCATCTTTCCCCTGGGCGTACTTTAAACAAATCTGAATTTATATTACCTGAGGATGCCTCCATATATATATGACCAATTATGGCTTTCATGTTCGTGAAAAATTTTTAGAAAGATTTTCAATATCTATATACGAAAAACTTTTATCATCTAGTGTGGCCCTGCCCTACCCCAGGGTCATGATTTGAACAAATTTTGATCTTAATCACGTGCAGAAGCTTCCATATAAATATCACGAATCATGGCTTTGCTGTTCTTGATAAGACTTTTTTTTTTAATTTTCCAATATATTCCTTTGTAAAACTTTGATTATGTATTGTGGCACGCCCTACCCCCGGGGGTCATGGTTTGAGCTAACTTGAATTTACTTCACCATATTCATCTGAGAATGCTTACAAATAAATATCACGAATCACGGATTCGCTGTTCCTGAAGAGAAGATTTTTTAAAATATTTTCCTATATATTCCTATGTTATACTCTGATTATCTATTGTGGCCCCTCCCTACCCCCGGGGGTCATGTTTTGCAGAACTTTTATCTACACTAATTGAGGATCCTTCCATATAAATTTCACTTATCACCCTGTTGTTCTTGAGAAGAATATTTGTAAGTATTTTACTATATATTCCTATGTAAATGATTTGAACAAACTTGTATCTGCACTACCTGAGGATGCATGCTTCCAAATGAATTTCATATGCATCTTCCTGGCACAGCAGTTCTTGAGAAGAAGTTTTTAAAAGATGCCATTAATTTTTCACTAATTTATAATTTAATTTCTCCCATTTGAAGATGGCATGCAAGTTTGGATAAACTGGCCCAGTAGTTCGGTCTAGTTCCTGAGAAGAGGATGGAAATGTTAAAAGTTTAAAATGACAACAACGACGACAGAAAACGCGCAAACTTGATCTAAAAGCTCATTGAGCCTTCGGCCCAGTGGAGCTAAATCAAATTGCCTTCTCTATTTTTCCATAAAAATTAACTTGCACACTGCAGTCTTTTAAGTGGAGAAATTTCGTTTCAACACAGACGCTTAGTATGTATTCCTCTGGATGAAAAGTTATCCTGCACCCGTTAGACGCATGTGGTAATGTTTCATTCCATGTGAGGTAATAGTTGACATGATTGTTAACTGAATGATATGTGTAATATGAAGAATCCGAAGAAAAAAAACACTGAAATAAAAAAGTCTACATATGGAATTCACACTGCAAAAAATAATATAGATATATACTAGAATTTATATATCTACAGCAAAGTATCAATTTTTAACACTTACGTGTTTTATTCTTTGTACTCTCCGCAAGAAATGCCACCATGAACACGAGACAAAAAATTCCAAACATAGTCGTTCACGAACTCACACACTAAAAAAACATTTATCTTTAATAATCACGGCTCAATGCTATGTAGTGAACACTGATGCACCTAAGATGTACTCTAGATTTGCAAATTAATCAACTGAATTTGTTAAAAAAGGATGATGCCAAGATTTTAAGGAAAAGTTTAACAACCTTCCCAAGTGTAATTTTATTTTTTGTTTGTTTGTTTGTTTGTTTTTTTTTTTTGGTTGTATTGTGCAATATTGATAGTAATTCATTGAAGTCTTTAAAAACTCTTTATCTTGAAAGGATAATAGATTATATCAATTCCAAAAAGTAATTCTTTAGTGCTCCTATTTGATTTGAACATATTCTATTGTAATAAATATATACAATAGAATTGGGCAAAAGCTATAAACATGTTTAAAAGATGCAATTTAATTTAAAATAAACTTCCTGATTTCTTAATTTTGATATACGATGTACATATATAAACATTGGTAAAAAAATTAAATTGCAATTATTATTTAGTATCCAATAAAAATACTGACTCACAAAAATAGTAATAGTTACATTATTCCACGACGATACCCACTTTCCGCATCACACTTTAGAGAAATGGCTGCTACCTCTAAAACGCACTGTAAACAAGGCTATGCTTGACCGATTTAAAGCACTTTAATTATATGCAAATAGATCGAGTTTTTACTATGTTTATAACCAATGAATATTTTTGATATTGTTAGTTCATTCAATAATGTTTCGAATTAAAAACAGTTTTATTACATCATGTCATATAAAACAAATGTAGAAAACAATGTCTTACTTATTTGAAAAAAAAAACATGTACATGTCTTTCATTCTTTGCTTGGACTGGCATTTAAATACCGGTAGGTTTAAACTAAAAACATATACCGGTATCAGATAAGGTGAAACATCAATTGATGGTGGTTTTTAAAGGGAGAACTTTTTAAAATTTTCTAGGTTTACTGACTCGAGGCGAAATAACAGTAATAAAGCGACAATGCATGAACACTCATATTCAGCTACTCATATAATTATTAATTAATTCATTTTACACTCTGCTTGAAAAGCGGGAGCATATATATAGTAATCGGTATGTCTGTCCGTCCGTCTGTCTGTTACTCTGTGGGGTACCCATCTCTTATCCGCAACTCTTCTTATACCACTGAAACATTCACAGAACCTTTATTATATATTGCCATCGTGACCTCCTATTTTACTTTTTGATCTGAAACATATATTTGGGTTTCACAGCCACAGCAAAACATGGACTTTAGCAATACCGGTATAACTATATGGGAGGTGGGGGATATCATTTGGTGAGCTCATTGCTCACAATAGTTCCAGTATTTATCAATTAAAACTAGTGTCTGTTTCCAATCATAAGGGGGGAAATGTCAGTACTAATTTCTTACAAACCTATTTCAACGATGAAGGATGTTTTTTTCTACTATTTTAGCTTGTCAAAGAAATTCGACTTCTTTATTATTTTGGCCTTTTAGGAAATAAACTTATAAACAATTCAGTCTGTATATACTGGCTTATATGGGTGGCCTTTTATAGTATTCTTGTGAATAAGATCATAAAGTTCATGTAAGGTATGAATACTTGCACAGTGATCAGGAAAATAAAAAAAACACTTATTTTTAAAATTGCAATATTATTTGCGTCTAATGATTTAATGCATAAACAACAGCAGGTACATCCTAAAAAAATAATAATTCTGAAATAATCAAAGTTTTCACCTTCGTAAATTCAAGTATTTTTATTATAAATATATATATATTCCTTCAAGTAATTTTCTTATATTACAAATAAAAAAATAATATATTTAATCAAATTATTTGGATTTATTGTTAAAACATTTCTACCAAATTTGAATAACATATGACGTCAAATAAAAAAGATGTGACAGAAATTCACGAATTTTTTGAACAACCCTCGTATAAGAAGCATACAAAAATAGCTATCATATCCTGAAAAATTAAGAAAATTATATAAAATTCAAATTCCAATATAAGAAAAAACTATTTATGTAATTTTGGCAAAACCATTTTATAGAGCCTAGTAATTTTTCTTTTTATCATTTTATCTCATTATTATATTTTTTTTAGCAGAAAGAACGAAATTTATTTTTTTTTTAAATAGAAGAAGGTATTGCCGTTCTATTGCTTCATTAATTCAGTATTTTTTTAAAATTATTCCTAATGTCCAGGGAAAAGGTAATGTCCTCGTTATCTCTTTATGACGACTTAGTTATTTCGTTATAACGAGATAGTAGAGAGGTTAAGCAGATGACCGTGTACGTCTACATGTACGTGTAGCTAGGGAAATCCCCTAATTTAATGATATTTACGTCATCAGTTTTGCATACCGCGTAATTCTACAAGTTGTACACAACGTGTAGATTCGCAAGTACACGTAGGTGAAAACTTGTAGCTTCTTAAACTCAAACTACGGAATAAATATTTTTCAGTCGGTATTTGGTATGAAGTTGAGAATTTATTACGAACATCCAATGTATCTTTTTTATTTCAAGTCACATATTTATTTGATACGAGTGGATTGTAAAGTGCCTTGCTGAAATGACGTTTTACACGTACCGGTACACGTTCAATTTGTTAAACAGAACACGACATTAGTTACGCGTACATGTAAAATCACTTCTAGGTTTACACGTACAAGTAGACGTACACGTTCAAATGCTTAACCTCTCTAGTATCTCGATAAAACGAGTTAGTATCTCGTTCTAACAAGTTGATTATCTCCGCCCAAGTATAGTATACGTTTAAGTAGTTCCGGACATTGCGCATTTATTTGTAAATGTGACATAGGACGAAATAAGCTTACATTTGTAAAATTAATTGAATATTAATTATAGTAATTTATATAAATGTACCAGATATATTTAAGGAATGAATTAGTGGTAATATAAAACATGAATTGGGGCCGGGGTGTTTAGTTGTTTTAATAAGATGAGAAGCAACTGTGACATAGGTCTAAATGTGTTTACGTTTCAATTGAATATTAATGATCGTGATTTACATAAATTTATCAAATATATAAGGAATGATTTTGCATACAGGTCAGCAAGTAAGTTAATTAAAGTGAGTTAAGTAGACTGATTAGAGGATCGAAGTGTAAGCAGGTACACAGGTCGACAGGTCAGCAGGTCGACTGGTAAGCAGATCGACAGTTAAGCAGGTCGACTGGTCAGCAGGTCGACTGTTAAACAGGTCGACAGGTAAGCAGGTCGACAGGTCAGCAGGTCGACTGGTAAGCAGATCAACAGGTATGCAGGTCGACAGGTCAGCAGGTCGACTGGTAAACAGGTCGACGGGTAGGCAGGTCGACAGGTCAGCAGGTCGACTGTTAAACAGGTCGACAGGTATGCAGGTCGACAGGTCAGCAGGTCGACTGGTAAACAGGTCGACAGGTATGCAGGTCGACAGGTCAGCAGGTCGACTGGTAAGCAGATCAACA